AACTGTTAGTTCAGTGGATAATACTAACTTTTATAGCACGTTCAAAATAACCGACATGAACCACTCCTGCTATCGACATTTTTGTCTGTTTGTGACAATTAGTCTGTTTTTGACATTTAGATCGCGAGACAAAAATAATGGTAAAAAATGTAAGAACTTTGAATATACTAAAAAGCAATGACCCCATTGAAATTATGTACACAGTTTCCTGAAAAAAATCATGGAGCTCTAAAGCTGTTGTTATTGGTCCGATTGTCTGATTTAAAACATTTTTCAGATTTACAGAATGTTCATATATTTACAAACGTCTTTTTTACCCTCATAGCATTTGTCCTTTAACTCCCATATGGGCCCGTTTAAGTTTTTATTATTTCACACATTTCTTGTCCCCGCCTCCTTTCGCCGTCCTTTTGTCCACTTTCTGGTTTTGGTTTGTTGCCTTCTGGGTGCCCTGCTGTAGCTTAGGGGCTGCGTACTGTGAACGACGCATTTGCATTGTTGACCATTGTTCTATAAGTCGTGTTAAAACATTACCTGAAAATAGTTAGGTGCATTTGGTAAAATTTTCAAAACGTCATAACTGATAAACTTTGCCTTAAAAGTGCCGTTAGATCTGACATTTATTCTAACTGAGATCTTTTACAGTCATAACATTAAAAGGTATCTTTTATGTATTTTATACGGTTGTATGTGTTATATCATACATACATAAAGGCTGTTTGTATAATTAAGATAAAAATATAATGTTAAAAAGGACATTTTGCCAATCAATAGTAAGTATACAAGTAAAATTAAAAAAAAAACAACAACAAAAAACTATACATTTCCTACATAAGATAAATGTTTTATTCAATTGATATATATTATTTTTAAAATTCTATTTTAAGCAATTTTAAAATTTTAATAAAACTGTTAGGTCAATGACAATAATTTTAGTTAGTTTGTGGAAAAATGAATTGATAAGGCTCAACTTGATAACTAAAAAATGAGCATAACGCCACTAAACATCTTTTTATTGCTAACCTTTAGTTCATATTCATTTATTCATAGGAGGGGAATCTGTTGTTTATGTCCTATATTGAATATGCTCTTGTCAATGACCTTTCTTTATACTAGGCTGAAAATAAGGTTTTAAAATGTTCTTATAAAGATTGAGGGCTTCATTTACATAAAACGCGTTATTTGATATACATACATCTATATAATTATCTAAACTTTAATATTAATATAACATTATGTTATCGAAGCATAGACATAAAATCATGAAAGGATATAACATTCCCCGATATTCCTCGATCTGCGACATAATTAATGCACTTTTATCGGTGAACCTTACTTCAACAATCCAATAGATCTGGATAAATAGGATGACATAAAAACGATCTCAAGTAGAAGTTGACCGCTGCTACCAGTTCAGTTGTAAGTGTAGGATGTAATTTTAAATGACTTAAGGTCGATATGATTCATATAGAAATATAATTGAAAAATACAATGTTTGCTTGAGATGTTCAATTTCTTAAATTGTTCTAGCAACAGATGTGTTGACATTGGTCGACTCGTTTGATTTTTTCATCAGATATATGTGTTTTTACTGCAACAAACACATGGTATTCAGTTACAGCTCCAATGACCTTATTTAAAGTCTTCCTTACTATAACAAGTGTTTCGTTTTGCAAATCTTTACTTCTATTTTCTTAATAATGCCCCAGCATATGATGCGATAGGAACCTCTTCTTTGCCTGTTTTACTACCATTACAGCTACAGATGAATGAATGGCTGCAGTTGGAAAATTCAAACAACCTGCAAGAGAAGCATCACTAACAACATCATAATGTAATGTGTAGTTTTTCATATGGCGCCGAAACAGGAAATGTGATACTGGCTAACCTCAGGCCCCGTGTTCACAAAGAAAAGATCAGGATCAGTTGATCCTGATTTTATTTTCATTGTTTTATAAAACTAAAACTAATCGTACTATGCTAGAATTAAATGGTACATATTCAAATTTTAAATAATTGCTTATTTGCAAAGAAACTATCCTATTTTGGGATAAAATCAACAAAAAAGAGAACAAATACAGAAATAATCGGATCAAAATGAGGATCAACTTTAGGATCAAGATCAAAATTTGGATCAACTGTAAAATACCCATATCTTGTAAAAATAACAATAAATTCATTCTAAAATTTCATAGGGATGCTATTTCAAGTCCAGTTTTATCAAGTTAACACTGAAAATTCAATCTAAGAGGATAAATAATGGAGAATATTCGAGTTTTGAAATTTGATCCTGATCTTGATCCTGATCCTTAAATCTTTGTGAACACGGGGCCAGGTGTAACAAATATAAAGCAATAATAGGTCTCAAAACTTCCTTCCCTGCTGGGGCAAAGGGATGCATAGACTGCAGTAATTCCGACCCACAATGTCACCTGTTACGATTTAGCAGGGGGTAAGCCGTGGCTTCGGTTCTAATGTCTGAAGCCATTAAGGCAACTGCTCCGTCACAATGGTTTAAATAAGTAAATATCACAGACTGTTTATTGACAGTTGTGAGGGTTGCTGTGTATTATTTGCTTACATATTTCAAGTATTGATGAAACGCTGCATTCCATCCTAATTTAAAAGGTACAAGAACATGAAACATGATTGATTTTATTATATGTTAACAATGTGGTCAGAGTTCGAAAAGAATTTTATGTTGAGAAACGCCAACTCAATAAAGACATGAAGAAACATGATTCCTATAACCATCGTACAGCATAAAAGGTATTCTGCTGAATCATGTAATTGGTAAATATTTCTGTTTTGACCACCCTGGTGTAGCTCCTTCCAATAAAGCTGGTAAATTTCTAGCTAATTGGAACCACTTGGTGGAATGTTATTTAAGAAAGCATAGTTCTCTTTATGACAGAAAATGTGGTAGGTCTTCAAGCCGTTACAGCTTTAGCCTTATAGTGTGCACTTGTAACCATTTTAGGAGGCTTGTATTTTTAATTTAATCCCCTTTTGTCAATGTTATAAACACGAGATGGTTCAACCTTCAGGTTGTGTTTGGTAAGAATTTTATCACGTCCTTTGAAATACCTTGTTAAAGCTGGACGAAGAGCAGACTTTGCTCTTGCAATTTCAAGGCTATGTGTTTTTTTCACTTAAAGTATCAAGCTATCATAGAAAAGGATTCGTTTATTAAATAACGATAACAATAATATGAAAGAACATCAATACTACAGTGCAAATAGTTAATAGTTACACCTTTATAAAAGGGCCAAGCCTTGCTTTTCTAAAACAAGCTATGTATGTCATTTAGACAATTTCTTCCCATGACGTGTGACAAATATAGAAATAACGTTTAGATTGTATATTGATGACTTACCATCGGCGATGAATTTATCAGATCCAAGTGGCTTTTGTAAGTTACAGATAAAGCAGCAAGAAATCAATTATATGTGACAGATGTCTCGTTCAATGCCAGTGCCTCGGGAACAATAACGCATGAAAAGTGTAATAACCGGAATGTTTGTAAACAAAATGAGAATTTCTAAACTTATAAAGCCTATAGACAAAAGTAACCAAACATTTCTAAAAATCAGAAAGAAACGATAGACATACTTTTGTATTTCAAATGAAGGGACTCATATCAACATATGGAATGTGCGTATGGAAAATAAAATATCTTGATATACACGATTTACGGAAAAATTAACAGTGAATATGCATTGAAAATAATAGCCTTTAGCCTGTTGGACTTATCTAGTTTCCATCTTTTTTTAAATTTTCATAATCAATGCTGGATATAAAGATGAAAATTTGATGTAAGATAGCAAACAGTTTAGAGCCTGGCAGGACTGGTGGCAAAGGCGAATAAACTTTGTCTTCATAAGTTTAAGAGCTTTGATGCTTAAAAGATTTTCAATTTCTAACATTGGAACGTTGTAATGTACAATTTGACAGTTGCCTTTTCCATGTATGGTCAATGATAAAAACTGTTCACGAAAACAGGATCCGAATTATGAATTTGAAGAACAGTAAATGAATGACAAATTTAGTCAAAACTGTGTTTACTTATTATATTATTTTGGATATAAAAAAAATATATTATCTAACATTGATATATACAATATGGGATACATATGGACTCGCACAAAAAGAAATGAAATCTGGCGGTTGGTGCATTTGTCCAAATATATTGCTATATTGAGCAGTTCAGCATTAAAAGCATTAAATAACAAGAAATACAAAAACAAAACTACCTGAAATTGTTCCATTGTCACATATATTTTGATCATATAAAATGGCATCAGCCAATTATGCAATGATGTTAAGTGTTATATATTTTACAGCTGACATTTATTTTAGTCAGCTTTATGCAACTGAAATGAAAGAGACAGTTTATAGACCAGAAAATGATAAACATGACCTTAAGCATTTGTAATAAAAATATTGACTGATATTGCATAATTGAAATGGTTTTCAAGACATGAATAACACATCCTCTATTCATACGACAATCTGAAAGAATAATTGACTTATGTCATGACAAATAAATGCTCCACTTAAAGTTATCAATCGTTCTACTTTCCTTTTACAGATAACAAAATCATGCTTTACATTAACTACGTGTCGTTTGTTTCTCGGATAGACACAAAAGAAATAGCCATTTTTCGGAATGTCACAATACTAATGTATTATATTTACAAATAAAGTTTTCCATCACTTATTGTTACGACTATTCCAAGCATGGTGATACCGTTTTTGTACTTTAAAAAGTGTAAATGGTTATTTTCTACAAAATGTTTTAAAGTTTCTGTATTTTTCCTTATACTAAGTAATAACTAAATATGAAATATTTTAAGATTTTTATTTTGAATTTCAAGGGAGACATTGTACTTTACAATCTGTTTTTTTTAGTTGAAAGTTTTCCAATACCGCGTTCTTCTGTGTCTCTACAGCTACTAATAATATACATCTTAACAGCCATACAACGCCTTGCTATTGGCGTAGATGCGCGCTGTTTGAAAAAGTGTGTTGTAATATAATCTGCTAACAGTATGTTCATCAATATATAAGCAATAAGACATACATTTAATTTTTTAGTCAAGCTTGTGTTTTTGTGAACGTAGCAGTGTTAACGAATTTTTGAGATCTGATTAAGTCTTATAAAATCATTTTTAGATGACTTTGCTTATGATAAGAACTCTAAATATGAAAATTCCTTGTCGGAAACAAATACTGGCATTGATTTGGTGTATATCGGAATGTTTGTTCTTTTCTGGATACATTAATGGTTGGCTTTGGGTGAAACAAATAGTCAAAGAAGATGGCTATTTCATAGAACCGTGTAATATATCACTAGCTAAAACAGTTATCAGCAAAGAGCATGTAGATATCTTAATGAACCAGCCAATCAGAATGACGCATAATAAAACGAAATTAAAATGTTTCTATAAAAAGGTTGTTAAAGTTGTAAGCCTAGAGGAATATGCTATTTATGAAAATAAAAGTAAAATCTTGAAAAATACCTTTGATAAAGGAAACAACATTACATTTAGTGGATTTGATTGTGATGAACAAGAAAACAAATTGGAATTGATACACATTATAGTTCTGCTATTTCGAAACATAACTTTGTTGCCTTTAGGGGTTTTCCTTGATGCATATGGTTCGAGCAAAGCAAGGATTATAGCATTGTAAGTATATATACACAGTCAGGAAATATTTTTTCAGTAATAACACTTTATGGTTGTACACAAAATTTAAAATAGAGTTTGCATATATGGTTTAGTTTGAATTGTTTATCGCGAACATCACGTAACTATGTCAAATTTGTTTCTGATCATCTATAGGCGGTTTTATTTTTCTTGTCTATCGCAATAATTGATTTGATATTTGAACGTTTTCCCTTGAACATAAAATATGTATTTAACAAATTCTATCAATATGTTTTTTGAATATTTACGAAAAAAGAAGAAAGTATTTATCAAAACTTGTCTTTACCTACTTTGAGACAATAATATCTCAAGTCTCAAACCACACAATTTCGTTGAGAAATGGCATCTACCGAAAGGAAGAGTCGGAATTTTATTATAATAATAGTTCTTACACAAATTAAAATGCGTTTATTCCATCATAATATTTTACGGATTTGATTATGTAGTTCAAAACTAAAAACGATCACGTTTAGAAACGTACTAAAAAGTTATAACAAATTTAATCATTGTATTACAAGCAGTCGCGCTGATTATTTTCTTATGTTGATTATAACATAACGATCTATTGATTTTGGTTTTCATATTAATTCCTATTAATTAACAGTTTGTTTTTTGTTTTATTTGTGTTTTGTTTTTTCGAAAGGGGAAGATCCTCTGAAGGAAAGAAAGTATCTAAATATGAAAATTGCCAACTCGGTTTTATTGAGACTGTGCATGAGACATATAATAGAGTGCAACATGCCTTATGCCCCCTAGCACCGGCTAAAAAGGAATTTTATTTAACATTAAAATTGGTTTATAACAATATTTTTTTTTACTGTATATTTTAACTGTGTACCACGTTCATTTTTTTCCAATTTTTTAAGCATTTCATACGTGTGTATAATCTTTGAATTATTTGTGTTTAACTCGCAACATGAAACACTATTAATTTAGTATAATTGCCATGTAAATTGACGCTCAGTATTTTCCCATATCTTAATTCATCATAACAAGATATTAAATGAAAGAAACACGAACTAAGGAAGAAACACGAGTATAAAACCAGTCAACGAGTAGTTACATGTAATATGTTATCATGTTTCTATCATCTTAACTTTACATGACCATGATAACGTCAGAGCCATTTTATATAATGATAAAAATTGATGCTATAATTACGTAGTTTAGTACATTTTATCCTTTAAAAATGGAAAGGAGGGAACCATCGAGAATCATAAAAACAGAACAAAATAGAGAAAAAAGTAGATTCGGGTTGTGTCTGTAAAAGAGAAAAAAAATAAAAAAGGATCTTTCGCTTTCACTTCGCAATGGCTTAAGCGATATTCCAATCATGAGCTGAAATTCATTATCTAATATTAATTTTCATTTATCACGCTATTTTCGTTTGATAAATAGCCATATTATCAAATTAACATCGTTAAATCTCTAGTCAAAGAAAAGTTGTCCTAAATATATTAATGAACTTTTTCATTACATGCAAAATACACTCTTTTAATCTCATTTCTTATTTGTTCTACAAAGATGATTCTAACAGTCTCTTGTTTTCGTGTCGCTGTCTATCAATTGGTGCGTATGGATTGGTCAATATCTTTGAATGACATTAACGCGGAAATCAAGTTAAGATCATGCATTTACGATTGATTTAATACGCTTAGATACACTCGCAAACAACAGAAACAACATTAAAAAAAACATTATGAGTGGAAGATGTCTCATTTAAGCCATTGCTTCGTGAATAACTAATATTATTGTAGAAAAATAGCTAGATGTGCATGACAATTTCAGAATTACTAATGTTTTCATTATTCAAAGAAAGAAAGAAATATCATAATCTGGACGAATACGATGGAATATTGATAAATTAACATAAACTATATTCATCAGATGATGAATCTTTATGTTTGACACGTCCGTCAAAGATATTTGGCGTAGTAAGTGTTTAGTTTGCACAGAGAAAATATAAATGGAACGATTGTATATGTCTTGATTCTATATATAATTATTTCTGTTTTTCTTTAGAGTTGTATTCATCCAAATGAGCCAAAATATTTCAATAAAATCAAACCTTAAAAAATAACTAAGATTTTATGTGAAAAGATTTAATGTTTTAATGTTATAATTTGAATGTTATGTTCGACTTAAGATTGAATTTTTTCAGTATTTATATCCATATTTCTTCTGCGTTACTGACACAGTAAAGGCTACTTTCGAATATTTTGGCTACATTTTGGTAATTTGCATGGGTTTGTAAGTGTTGTTTGTAATGCGTCAATATCTTCCGATAGATTACTTCACAATAATTTTAACACATCTTAAAAATTTGCATGAAGTAGTATGAATCAGGATGCAATGTGCTGCTGTAAAAGCGGTAGACTAAGTCTTATTTTGATTTGAAAGTGAAGGACATAAATATATAGTCACAATTTTTCGATCGCAACGATGGCATGATTTAAAACCAGTAAGTTTAAATCTATGACATATAATTGTTAAGCGAACTGATAACGTAAAATTTCATTCTTACCCAGTTAACACAGAGTAAAAGACTAAAATCCGCTTTAACCATTTACTTGTGAACAATTTTGTCTTTTTCTGTGTGGGAATATGAAATAAATTTCAACATTGAATATCAAATATTGTTATTCAACCTAAATAATAGCACATCAAACATGTACATAACGACATGTGCTGAATATCACAGTTCATCAACATTGCCATGTTATCACGCACACGTTAAGTGGATTGATATTAATGATATCAATGTTGTTTCAAACGCAATGGAAATATAGATACTTACCTATTTACATCAAAAGACAAATGAGATGTATATTGAAATATTAAGTGGCAAATTTCGTGTCAATAAAGGGAGAATCAATAAAACGATCATTTATGTTTCACCCATTTAACGTTTTGTACTTTACTTTATTCGATTTAGAAACAAATGGCAAATGGCAAAATCTTTGCAGAAATGTCACAATTCTAAAATAAATCAGCTGCTTTATCGTAAAACCAAGTGTCTTTAAAATTACGGATTTGTGTGCCATTCGTCATGTTTAAATCATGATGAGTTTTATGAGAGGAGGAAAGAATTGATGTAAAATGTAGAAACTGATAATCATTATTTTTTCCGTGTTCTTAACGCGGGCCAAATACATGAAAGCATACCTCATTGATTTATTATTGTGCACTCATATTTTGCATAGATAATTTAATAAACATTAAATGTAAAGCTAATATCTCGTTAAGTCAATTATAACTTTAGGCTAAGATTGTTACATCTAGATCAAAATAAATTCTGAATCGTATAGAGAAGCTTTTAACATCAAAGAGCAATCTTCATTTATATAACTAGCTAAGTAACATTTAGATTACTTAATATAAAGTCATGTTATTTTTACGCTAAAATTTGAGGATGAAACTACATCAAAGAACGTCTATGTGTTGAAGGCATTATGATTACAAATAGTACCTAACAGTACATGAATCATGATGAATGATGGATACATGTATAAAGGTTAGGTTACTTATTGATTTGTACATTTATGCTATGATAAAGCTGTAATTGGAGATTTCATTAATCTGCACACCAAGTTTATATAATGCGTGTGGGCGACATAAATATCAGTTGTATTACGATCCTGTTTATCACCGATTTATAGCTCATTCTGCCGACTATGAAATCCAACTCATCTATTGTTTACTTAAAGAATTATAATTTACTTGATCGTTGAGAGATGATAATAATAATAATAATAAATTTATTTTTCTTTCAGGTGTTGCACAGCCTTTGGTTCATTAACGATGCTGTTTTCAAGCAATAGTAAGTTTCTTACTACTGAATTATATATCACAATTGCGTTTTTACAGTTGTTTCAATAATAAGTCTCATGAAAAAACTTTATAATGGTGCTCAGAATTAAAAACTGATACTCCAAATGCTTTTTGATGCGCAGGAAAAGATTTTGCTATTCCTATCACTTGACAATATTTGAATTATATTTCTAGACTATTGTAGCTTCATTTGTTCAAAATGCAATTATCTAAAGATTTAAAGATTGTTTACAAGAGCGTACAACTGTTAATATTATACCGTGCATGACAGTGTCGTTACCGAGTAGCCGTGAAATTGGGATATTGTTTACAAGAGCATGACATTGTTAATATCATACCAAAGTACATGACAGTGTCGATTCCGAGTAGCCGTACTAAGTACTTTGTTCTTTGTTACAAAACATTCATTGTCGATCTTTATTTTACATCTTAACGACATCTATTGTAGCATATCCTTGGCTGATTTTACCAGCTTTATTGATGCTTGGTGTTGCCGGAATGCTGATATTGTTGACGGACCTGCAGGTGGCTAATTTGTTTGGATCACGACGTTATACCGTGATGTCCGTTTTTGTCGGAGCTTATTTCTCTGGAGGCATTGTTATATTCTTCATGAAGGTATTCCAATGGAAGAAATAATATATAATTTTATTTATTTACACCTTATGAAATTTAAGCCACTTAAGTTGTAGCTTTTGCACCATGTGATTTATCGATATAATTTATTGTTGGATTTAATCTGTTTCAATTTAGCATCCTTTCAATTTTCAATCTTAAAAATCTGTATTAGATTAGCGACAAATAAATGTGTTATTATATATTGGTGAGAATAATACTGATACCACTGTTAACAGCTGCAACGCCTATACAGTAATTGACTAGGCTAGCGCCTGGTAAAATATAGGTATGAAAGCTATGTACGCGTCCAATACAGTTCTGTACTATACTCAACAATGTAAAAGTAACATGCTATTCAAGAATATCAATACACTTCATTTCAAATAGATGTATTTGAATATACACCTTTTGTGCTCTTGCTTTACAAACACATAATATTAATAGTGAATGCATATTAAGGTAAAAGTAAACTTTCCGAGATTACTGATTACACATTTATTGGAAATACATGTGAGTCTGGTGTTGTCTTTGTTCTGATTTTTTTTACAGAAAAAAATCGATTAATTAAAAATGGGAGATATTTTAAGATATTAAATCACATTTGAGAGGTAACAAGTTCAGTAGTATTACATTGTTTGTTTCTTTATTCTGTAAAGTAATAATTAAGTCCTTATTTGATCTTTTAACCTTTTTTAACACCAGTTGACGAAGGCCACAGGAGTAAGTCTTCAGACATCTTTCATGTTTACAACGATTGGTATTGTACCCGTCCTGATATCAACAATTGCCATGTTACCAAGGTCAAGGATTCCATGGCCGTTACCGGCTGAATACGGTAAGAACAGACGTGTCAATCACGCAGAAGATAAACACGCAAAGACTAAAGCTTGGCAAAGGCGAACATCAGGTAACAGTCATAACAACCATGTGTGTGGCCAATCAGTTCAGGTTATAATGAACAAAACACAGGACCATTTGCATGAGCTTGTATTCAGCATATAAATCATTTCGAAAGATACATTTTTATATTTGGCTTTAAAGACTTGAACTGTTAGTTGTCGTATAACAGAACATAAAATTTAAATTGTTACAACAACAACTGAAGTATAATTTCTGCTTTGTTGCTATGTAATACATGTACGTGAAGTATTTTATATTTCAATGTCAGAATGTAATGGATTTATGATTTAACATGTTTATTAACTTTCTGATCTTATAGTCATTTATTGCAAAACTTACACCAAGTCCCTTGTTCAAAAATATTCAAGTATCGATAAACCTGGACTTAAAAACATGTTTATGAAATATAAGACTAAATTCATTGTTATTTTTGCAAAATAAGGACATTTTGCAGTTGATCCAAATATTGATCTTGATCCTAAAATTGATTTTGATCCGATTATTTTTGTATATGTTTTGTTTTGTGTTATCCTGATCTTTTGTTAGTGAACCCGGAGCCTGGTGTTAAGATTTTTTGCAAAAGCACTCTTAATTATAAATATACACACAATTTAAACAACGAAATTCACATTTATCTCGTTACAGTTGGCACCAAGAAAAAGCACGATTTGTCTGAGTTTTGGGGGATAATTAAAACAAAATTATACATTTTCTGTATAATTTGGTACTCGCTGCTTACTCTTAAAATATGGATGTATGACATGACAGTCGATAGACAACTTTCACATATTGGTGTCATAGATAGTAAGTATCATTTAGAGATTTTTGACACCTTTTCAGAATTATCCTCAAAATGTCTTTGTTATTTTAAAAACAGTATCTTTTGTTTAGTTGTCTTTAAAACGAAGAAAGAGTAAAGATATTTACGATTTATTTGCTTTTAAAAAGGAACATATGTATTATTACCAATAATCTTACCAATTTGTGTGTTTCGTAGCAGTGACAAAACGAAACCTTAACTGCTGAATGATCTTAATATAAAATGTACAAAGATTCGTGTAATGGCCATCATGCGTATTTAGAACTTTTATCATAGATAACAATTTTATTTGCCATCTCTCTAATAGGTATCTTAAAGAATGTCTGTCAATATTTCATTAGAGGGGCATATGACTATATAAACTGATAGATAATAAATAAAAGATGTGTTTGTATCATGATGTCTATACAAATCTATAGAAAAATATCCTTATTTAGAGATACTAGTATGATGATTTTTATCTTTTTTTCCATGCACGAAACAATTACTTCACATATGGAAAAAGTCTGCCAGCATTTTATAAGAAACATATTTATTGTAATAAAATTCATACATTCGACAAGAACATTAAAATGTTGTTTTTGTGACCTTCTCAGTCAGTGATTTTGTTACGGTTGAGTGCACGCCTATATCAATAAATATGAGTACATCCTCCGGCATCTGTATCAAGGAAACGACTCTCTAGTTCTGCTTGTAAGCGGGATGTTGCAAGTGCGAATCCTAGCCATTTCAGGATATTTTCCGATGCCGTTGCCTCTTTTTGTTTCACACAGAATTGTTTGATAGAATGTTTAACAAACGATTAATATGAAGTTATCGTCCAAGAACAACATTCTTAGTTACACTTTCTGTTTTTACATAATCTAAACTTAAAAATGTGTTGTTTTTTTCTTACAGCTGATAAATATGTATCGCTTTATGCCTTGATACTTCTGCTTAGTTTACCAATATCTCCTTTGTTTGGTATAGTAATGGACTGGAACAAGAAACAAGGTAAATGTGTATTTTTACCCTTACCATACATCATACCTTAAATATGGGTTTGTCCACATTTCAATATAAACATAACTTTTAATTTCATTAATTTATGAAGTATCTGGACAAAACTTTCCATCATTTTATTAGGATATCAAATTATGTAAAGTCTGATTGAATAGCAAAAAGTACAGACCATGATAATACGGCACAGATGTGCTGGTGGATATGTGTCTGCAATGATCGCATGTGTTTTTTCTTACAGCAGGCTTCACGTTTAAATTCCACTTTTAATAACGTCATCTAAGAAAAAAAACAACACATGCATGAAAAACATTTGTTTGTAAATGCATTTTTGACGTAAAATTTTGAACCAAAACATGTTGCAGATTTAGAAATGTTTTAAATTATAATCAGCCTTAACACTTTTTGTCATTTCTTCACATTTTGAAGTGATTCTTGTGTAAAGTTGCTTCACGAAAACAAACGATAATTTTTTTGCAAACATCGTATTTCATACAAAACTTTATTCAAATCCCCTGTAGCAAAGACTTATTACTTTCATAAGGTCTTGTTTGATAGATTTTGGATGTCGACAAGGAATATTAAGCCGAAGGAATATTGTTAAAAACAGAATAAACGATCTATAATATTAGATTTTTCTTTTTTACATATTGATATATACTTTTTGGCAAAGGATATTTCATTAAAATACTGTCAAATGACTAGGTCGTTACGAAAAGCTCGTATTGGTGCAAGTCCTTCATGTTGTTCTCTCGTTCGTGCCTCATCTACGTATTTCATGGCATAAAAACAAACTGCCTACTTTGGGTATATTTTATTTATTTGTACTTTTCAATGCTACCATTGATATCTAGGTGTATCGAAAAGTTGTTTATTTTTTGTATTTCAGTAACAGCACATCACCATATCCTTCAGATGAAAAACATATTCTATGCAGTCAGTATTCATTTCTGTATTGCTTTGCTTAGCAGTGTGACGTCATTATTTTCAAATATCCATGTTCAAGTGCTTTCATTCATCTTTGTTGCCATGGAAAAAGTTGCTCTTCACGCAACTTTGTATGCCTTTTTAACTCATGTGTAAGTTTATTAACTTTTACCAAACGTTTTATATTTCTTTTAAAACATTCCTTAAAAATATTATAGAGCAGTGTATTATAGAACACCTATTAACCGATAATCTTTCTATTTTTATAATATGAAAGAAAGGTCTATTCATACCTGTTATAAAACTGTTTCTTTTATTCAAAATATTATTTTAAAGTGCATTTTATAACACATATATAGAGTAGCTTGTTATTAAACAAAACTATTATATGACAGTTAATCAATTTATTACTAACAATACAATTTATCGCAATAGATCATTCTTATCATTACGTAGAACATGATTTAACTAATACATTGATATATTGTCCATTTGATTTAAGAAATTCCTTTATAATTGCTCAAATTATGGTTGCTAATTTATATCGCCTTTCGTGGCATCTTTAACATGATTTTTTTAGAATTTGAAAAAGTTCTTTGTATAATGTTACTAGACTAAGTGTTGATGCATATTATTAAATCCTTAGTTTAAACAATATTCATTTCAATTTGTACAACATTAATATAAACAGTAAGCACATACAAATTAACTGATATATTTCGTGGACTGGAATTCAAGTCAAGTGAAACTTATGTAAATTCATTTCCACAATAATGAGTACACATTTAAAAAACTGCCCTTATATCGCCATTGCTGATAATAAACTTTTATGTTGTTGTTTCAGACATTTTCCCAGCGAGCATTTTGGTAAACTAGTTGGAATAGTAATAGGCTGTTCTGGTATTACCCTTATCCTCCAATTTCCATTAAAACTGTTACTTCATCAAGGATCGTCGGACAACACATTTTACGTGAGAAATTATCTTCATTTATCTGCATAGCATAGATTTATGTTGTAAAATATGTACACATTAAAACTTATTGCAAACATCTGAAAAGAAAATGTATTAAGTAAAATTAATGATCAGCAGAATTTTTAGAAAACAAGAAGAAAAAAGTATAGATATATAATAATTTCTTTCGAAAATGTGTGTAATTTTCTTTATCATATTATTAATAAAACTTTGAATTTTCCTAGCTTTTCGTCAATTTGTGCCTTTATCACTCTGAATTCCATACTTATTTTTATGTTTCGCTTTGTTAACGATGAAAAAAGAAATAAGTAGATTATAAAACTGTATATAAAACTGATATAACGTATATACGTATTTGCTTTTTCATCTGTTTTCCTAAAATAGCTGGGTCTACGATAAACACGTTGTTATGTGTTTTTCTGTTATCAGTCAAATTCTATGCTTACTTAATGAAATAGATAATTTAAAAGTTCTTATCAACCTTATCAACGATTCATGGAAGAAAGCACCCTGTAAAATTGATGTGCACCATTATTATGAAGTATTAGATTAACCGCAATATTATGATGGAAAACAGTTTATTAGTTTATTTTGAACGTTTTGTTTTAAATACAAGATTTACCGTATATTTACTATCGATGTGTAACTGTATCTGTAACAGCAAACACTTACCGTACATGTCCATTTGTTTTGAACATAATATTTTGTAATTATAAAGAACAACTGTTATACAATCATTCACTTATTAATGTATTTTCTCATATCACATCTTTCTGTGTGATTAAAAATAACTTTAGTCTATTTCTTTATTATAACTTTTGTTCTCAAACAGGTGCACATTGTTCTACTTGTTATTGTCGTGGTATCAGGATGTCATCCCCTGTCCCTCTGGTACCACTGTAGGACAGGGGGTATAAATAACAGTGCAGAGATGACGGAACAAGAACGGCCATTAACTATCGTTCTTATGGAAAACATAATGAAAAAGCAGGATAATAGTAATGATGAAAATAAAACAGATCAGGCTGATAAACTTACTGAAGCAGAGTCGGCTAAACTTCAGATTACAGATCTCTAGGAATATTGACATGGATTATTCATTCTCCTTAGTGATGACATAAACTATGACTGTAAAGATTAGCAGAAAGAAGTGTCAAAAGTGTTTTGTTTTAGATATAAGTAATGAAATCGAAAACAAAATACAAAAAGGTTTGTTTGGAAAGCTATTTAGTATGATGTTTTATTTAAATGGATTATTGTTGTTTCAAACAAACTCTATTGATGGGTACATTCAACATCTTAAGACAAAACAATATAAGATACAAGTGTAGACCTATAAAAAGTGTTCAAAACCCGTCCATTTTATTTTTTTTTTTTTTGAAATCATAAACACATTTTGTTTGTTTTAAAATATGTAATGATAAATTTTGTTTAAAAACAGACAAACAGACAATATCTGGATGAAGTACAACAGAAGTTAGTATCATAATGTAACAAACTTGAACGAAATTTAATTTTCTTACGTTAATCATCAATAAGCCAAACAAAACAATTTGTCAAAAATATACAAACAATTCTGTCATTCTATTAGAAACGGGAAATATTTTAAGTGGCAACAAAAGTGAGCTTATTTATATTTTACACAATGCATTCCCAGTTTGCACCTAGATTGTGAATAAGTTTACAATTTGAAAAAGTACTTTAGATATATTTTGCTTAAGTTTGATTTGTAAACACATGCTATTTTACTTGTCCATATGTCGTTGTTTTAATAGTGTCTTTTCTCTAACAAATATTATTCAACACAATACATAGAACAGTCACAGTGTTTTTTTTTTTTAAATCATCGTGAATTTATTTTAACACCATGCTGCAGAATGTTTGAAATAGATTATGAACTGTCAGAACATCAATCATATCGTCTAAATTAGAGGTAATGAAGAAAAGACGTAAATGCCACTGGGAAAGAGATTGATAGAACAACAAACTATTTTGTATGGGTACGTTGGCAGTGAAGAAATCTATGAAATGTACACAATTATTCTGATATCTGCGGTTGATTCTAACATGAAGGATGGTCCAATGATGCCATCTTAAGATATAATTATCCCGAGAATAAAGTGAGAGGCTACGAATGTTTATATGAGAGCACATATAACGTCGCGTAACAAAGCAAAACATGTCATCAAACGGTAATTAAAGGATTCCACCCCCCACTCACCAATGAAATTATAATATCTAAAAAGAGGACACATTTATAGAAGGAATCTATTCCACTCGAAAACTTGATATCTTTACAAATAAAATGCTGGTATAGAATGGGAAATATTTATCATTCGAAAAGGACACTTTTCTTGCGTGAGTTGAACCTAATAGTCAACTACTGAATTTTTTAAAAATTCTATTGTAAAATTTTTGCATGCTAAAAAAGAATATTTTTACGTAGGAATGTATACATATGAAAATATCCGTACATCATTCATTAGTCATAGGTTCTAGTTCACCAGATATTTCAAGTACACATACTTAAAACTCATTTGTAAAAAAATTTTAATCATACAACATTAAAAGGTAATGTTTAATTGTAATACAGATTACGTTTTTATATTTAGAATATTGTAACGGTACAGGTTTGTGTGTAATTTTCATAATTTATATGTATATTGAATAAATTTTAAAGATATATATTAAAATGAATTGATTTAAATATCTTTACGGAGTTTTAACTGTTTAATGCATAAACGTGTATATAATTATTATGTTTATTTCATTTTTATATAATATTCAAGATTTTGAATTTCAATACTCCTACATAAATCAGTACATTTTATCCTTAACATGTCGATTGTTCTGCTCAGGCCCCGTTCTTGCCTGACATAATGAACGAAAGGGCGAGGTCTTCCGCCACCACTAAAGCTGGAAAGTCATGGCTAAGGAAGCCGTACAATTTCAAATGTTGTCAAATATAGCTCAAGCATCAATTGGTAAAGTTTTCATTTTATTTCAGATAAAATCTAGTAGCCTTAAGCCCACGAGGCTTAATAGTATAAAACTGTATGACAAACAATATTCTGATAGTATATCTATCAATCTTCATCACCGAAACAAATAAAACAGACTTGGAAAACGGCGCCAGACTGATGTACGATGCTTTACAGTTGTTAAAACATACGAAAACAAGCAAAATAAATATAAAAAAAAAACAAATATAGAAAAAAAACCCAAACGAATCTGCTTTAATTTATAACAAACTCTAGAAAAAGAAAAAGATCCACTAACATAGTGCTAACATTATGATAAAAAGTTCAGGGCTTTCATTTCAAAGATTCTAAACTTTTAGAAAGATGATAAATCTATATATTTCAATTAGATATATTTAATTTGTTTTTCTGCTTACTAGACACTTATTAACGAGTATTACATCTGTAGAAATGTTGCTAAGGGCGAATATTAAAAACATCTTTATCTGAGCATTTGAAATTTGTACATTATCAGGGAATTTTGTAAAAAAATAAAGTTTTATCCCGAAGCATTTTTTTCCATTTGTATCCATCACACACATATGTTCTAAACTATTATTGTAGATGGACAGATTTTTTAAAACTCGATAATTTCATTTATGAGAACATACAACGCACACAGGTTTTTTAAGAAAGAAACATAAATTCATTTATCTGTAGGATTTGCACTTGAGTTTAATGTACTTCAAGGCTTAATCTAATTGTATTTCTACAATCCTTATTACAAGACTTGGCCATCTGCAATATCAATTCAGGAAACCTATCACTGCAAAACATTCTATCAGAAGGTATGACAAAATGATCATTTAGTGAGAAAAATCACGTTATCTCGTTATGGTAATAATAACATAGACCGATCTATCTTTTGACATTGTTGTCCAGCACAATCCATGTTATAGGTTTCAACTTCGTTCCTCAGTAGATCTCAAAGTTCAAAACGCATTCAAAAAGGTTCAAATAGGCATTTACATAATCATATCATTTTAGTGGTATGAATCAATGTACGAAAGCTTACAAAATATTCCTTCATTTTACCAGAAACCGATAGTTAATACAATTTGTAAAGCATTTCATTCATGATACACTTATTTTCGCCGATTGAAATGTACAGTTAAGTCATGTCCTTAACTTCGTTAAGTATTGTTCACTGCCTCTTTTAATAAACAAACATTGAAATATTTCAAACAGCGTCTGTAACATAGTTGACTTCGAGAATTTGTGAAGATGAAATAATCAATTTAAAATGTTGAACAGATTGCATTTATAAACTGATTCAGGCAGTCAATTCGATCCCGGAATTATTTATTATTGCAAAATAACAAAAAGATGTAAGTGTGTAAATTTTATTTTCTTATACTTCAATGAATTGTACCTTCAGCTTTCGAATTTATTTATTATTGCAAATATACATTCCTATTTCTATACCGTAAAATAGTGTTGATATATCACAATCTTTCACAGCGGTTTCGTTTTACTATTAAAAAAAGTTGCACTAAGAATTAATCAACTATATATTTACTACGAAAGAATATTGCCGGTATGTTATGCAGTCTAATTAGAAAATCTTTATACTGAGCTCCGACCCACAGCGTTTATGAATTTAGAAGATATAAGAAACAAAAATGACTTGATGAATATGCACCAAATAACCTCTTGAAGCATGCAAAACAGATTATAGTAGACAATATCATGAAGAACGGTGTTAACAGAAAAACACAGCCTGATATTTAAACATATTACAAAAGAAGAACAGAAGGAGAAAATGAGTGAAAACAGAAACTGTTAAAGAAATATTGAAACAAAATAGAAATAAAAACATGCACACAAAACTTCAGTAATCTAAAATATAAGAAAAATATGAAATTGCATATAAGTTGCTTCTATCAATGATAATTCAATTTAGATCGATAAAGAAGAGAAAACAACACCATAACACCAACAACATGTAATATGAATGAGAAAACATTACTAATACTATAAATATATATATGTGAAACTTTTTTCTCGTAACTGTTTTATCCTCCAACTTTAACAGTTCAGCTATATTTTATCTTACTAAAATTTGATTGCGACTTCAGTTTTACATTTAAAGAACATATATATGTCGTGATAATGATATTATAATATGAATAACAAGTTTTTTACATCTCGAATGTTGGTAACGTAGCTGCAGTTTGGTTATTCAGCTTTGCATCACAGAATGCACAAAACTTATTTGAAAACAAATAACTGTTAAAGCTTTTAGGTTAATTTACAATGCATTTTGTTTAAACCATTACGCTTGTTCTGTTTAGCTTTTTAATTAACTTTGTATTTTAAGGGGCATAAGAAATGAGAAAACCGTCCTATCTTATTATTTAAGCCGCAATCGAATAAAGCAGTATTTTCAGTAACGAGAAAAAGATTGGCTACAAGAGTCAATTATTTTCCTCATCGTATTTTCAATTCAATCGTATTGTAGAACGATGGCTTTAGTGAGAGAGGTTTTACGTAAACAACTGTGATAAACAATGTTGTTTTTTAAGTATATTTGATACACCTCACTCTCTCAATCTTCTTTCAATTCGCTGCCAGCGATATAAGCATCTAATTCTGATGACACTTTGTAAAATAATTATCAACTCAATGATATTTGGTCATATATTTCTCTGAAGAGCAATGACCTAATAACCTAGTAAAAGGAAAAATAACATATTTTCCGACAAGAATGCATGCTTAATAGATAATGAATCCAGTGATTAAGCAAGGTTTTGATATTATCAAAGATGTCGTTTAAACTGAATTGTTATCATTCGCTCCGGTTGATATTCTAATGAGGGTTTTTTTCTTTTGAATCGGGTATTCTAATCAGAAAATTAAGAAAATAGTTGAATTTTTAAACGTTATTAAACAGAAAAGAGTTAAAATAGATTTGAGTGAGAGTGATTAAATACAAACAATACATAGTGTCATTCTGATACGTTATTGGAACTGAAATGAAAAACAGAAAATGAAGCAAATGGGTTGACTATGTATATGTGATTTTACACCACTCAACTCTTCAAAAATTCAAAGTTTGTACAAATACTCTTAAAGTAAGAAATGTCTTAAAATGCTGATAAACAGTCTGTCTCAGAAACGTCTTAAAATGTTGATAAACAGTTTGTCTCCTACTTGTTAACTACACAAATTATGTAAGTGAAACCCCGATATCCAGCATTTCGAGATGAACTGAACGTAGCATACAATCAAAGGACCGCGTTTGCGTGGTTGTGTTTCCTGTCATTTATACATATAAATATTTGATGCTTATAAGAGATTGGCAAAGCTTCTCATGTATTTATTTCACAACATTTTATTAGTATTCAATTTGTGCTTTTGAATTATACCTGGTTTTGAGAAAGTTATATATACTTGTAGATTAGATTATATTAATATTTTTTTTTTGGTTTTACAATGTTTCATTTTGTATCAACTTTCAAACTGTACAATGGCGGTTACTATATAATTATCTTGCCATCTGTATTTTTTACTTTGTCGTCTTGTTTGTATACATGTTAGTGTCTCTTGTATTACTATGCCATTGTATTTTTATCATTGCTTGATTCGCTTGTTACATGATCATTTTATTTGCTTTCTATTACATTTTAATCATAGTTCATTGAATTTTTATCATCGCTTATTTTTTCATTACATTTTTAGCCCCCCTTTATTAATTTTTATTTAGATATCCACTGTTATATCGTCATTTTTTCTTGTTTAAAAGTTGAATATTTTGAGTAATCTCTTGTCATCAATTCGATATCGTCATTTTATTTCCTTATGTCCTTGTTGTTTTGTAAATTTTAAAGCTAAAGATTTCCTGTCAAAACATGTAAATCATTGTTTATTCTCGTGTATATGCATGTTCATCATCTTTTTCACCTTGTGATCGCATGTTTGTCATCTTTTACATGTTCGCGTGATTGCAATGTTATACACAGTTTGTCTTTTCTTTATTTCACCACAAGTTTTCGCTCCCTCCGAGTCCTGAATCTAAAATAAATACCTTAATTTTTTTAATCAAAGTCTCTGTTGGATACATGAAACGACAAATAGTATTTATATCCAAGGTGTCTCTTATGAACTTTGAAACTCTTATTCGAAATAAGTTCCAATCTATTTAATTGTCTATCCTTTTTAATTAGATATGTGAAAAGACATAAGGCAAACTCGTTTGAAGACAAAATGTCTTTGATGACAGTAAATGACGTTCGTAATCTTAGATGAAAAACATTCTTTATATTAATATTTTAGATGCAGCCCACTAAAGATAGGCTTCAAATATATCTTCAATTTGAGAGCGTTATGGTATAATCATAATCGTATCACAGTTTGGATAGGTGTGTTAGAGGTAAATCGTATACCCATCAATGCACAGTTTTGCATTAACTGGATTACAGGTATAAGTTTTCCGCACCCCAATTACGGCACTGTCTGTCGAAGATAAAAATAGAGCATGCTTGTTGATAAGCTAAATAATACTTTTTCTGGGGTTTACTTAGTTCGAAAATAGACCCAGAGATGATGAAAAAAGACATATCCATATGCTTTTTCATTGTTTACAATTTTTTTCTGGTG